AGTGACAAGCAAGTGTGTGTTTACGTGCACACGTACATCATTTCAGGAAATGAGTGACATTTAAAAAATAAAGTACATGGATCTGGGGGAAGTACAAGAAGACATGTGTGGTGGGAGTGAAGCCGATCATGGGAAGGGCAGCGGGAGATGAAGATGGAGAGGGCCCCGACCACTGGGAAATGAGGCAGCCAACCCTCATCACTACCCCATCCCCGAACCTCAGCCTACGCCACCACCGCCTTACCCAGGCCAACAGTCACTGCCCAGCAGCCTACCTGACATCTGTGCTTCCCCCCTTGCCTCTTAGAGCCAGTCCTCCCCACACGCTTGTCCTTTCAAAAACCACTGTTGGGGAAAATATGGTGTCAGTCCCTATGCTCTAGTGTGTGAGGAATCAGTGGCTGAAAAGTCTTCCGGCCTGGGGGCGGGGTACTCAGCCTCCTTAAAGGAATTCAGGCCAAAGCAGGAAGTGGAGATCTCAGGACGGATAGGGGAGGGGAGACAGAGAGAGAAGGGAGCCTCACCCTTGCGGCTGTCTTCAATCCTTTCACAGTGGTCAAAGCAACTTTTCTTTTCTCTGGGCAAGAGTAGTGGCTCTGAGGGCAGGGTTGCAGTGAGTCACAAAGCCTGCTAACCTCAGGCCTGGGAAAGGGAATGTCCTTCCGAGGTGGCACTGTCACAGCACAGCAGAGATCAGCAGGTGCAACCTTCGTGACGGACATCATTGTCATGGCTGCTCAGTCTTCACTTGCCTCCTTTCTGCCTGTCAGTCTGAGCAAAGCTCCCTTGTGCCCAAGCCAGTGGGGGGTAATCCATGCAGAGTAACAACCACTCCACAAACGGTCATTGCATTCTGGATGTGGCGGTCCCCAGACCATCCATGCTGATCTGCTCAATTCTCCCATGCAGAGAGAGGCAGCGTTGAGGACTGTGTTTTGGGATCAGTCTTCTCTCTTATTTTCTTTCCCTGAAGTTGGGAGCAAGGAGCCATGCTGTGTGGGCCACAGGCCTCAGGCAATGTGCCTCTTCATAATTCCGGGGTCCTCAAACTTGTGAAGGGAGCACAGCCCCTAAAATCACGGGCTCTTGGGATACCTGGGCATCCTGCAACATGGAATCCCCTTCTGACTCAGGGAAAATCCAACTAGAGGAACGGCATGTGTTGAGGCCAGAGGCCTCCGCACAACAAAAAATGCAGGAAATAGTAAAAATGCACACCCCTCTGCTCTCCTACTAAATGCAGTTTTTCCTTGATTACTCATTTCATGACCTGCTGGGCACTCACAGGCAAATAAGCGACTGCCAAAGAGCAGGTTAGGGAAAGAAAGACTTAAATTTGAAAAGCTCTATCCCATCATTTACTTTCTTTTTCTGGGAACTAAATAAACACTGCTATGATCTGATTCTAGGAACCTTTACTGGGCTGTAGTGATCATGTAAAAATGACAGTTATCTCCCTTAAAGGATGATAATTAATATTGCCTTTACATAACCCACTTTTTTTAAAACTGATGTTTTCCTGCATCAGCAATCAAGAGGGTAATCAACATCACTGTCAGGAATTTTCTCTGAGAGATGAATGCCTTCATCAACACTTGCCTGTACAAGAGACATTCCTTCTTCAAAAACAAGGGGGTGAAGATGGGGGAGTAACAGGACATGGTTCTTACCCCACAGCATTCTTGGATTCCCTTGCGCCTGTCACAAAGCCACAGGAAGAGGTTCTGCCCGTACACTCAAGGCTTAATACAAATGACTGGGGTACAAAGAAAACTCTCCCTGCCTCTAGGGGTAAAATGCTCGTCTTCCATTCAAGTATTTTGGGGAACCTCTGTCAGGCGCTGAGCGTGGGATGATGACAAGGTATGATCCCTGCCTTCAAACTGTAGTAGGGAGACAGGCATGTCCATGAACCAGAATATAACATAAAAATGAAATCCACCCATTGGTTCAATGGGTGTTTGTTAAGCACCTGTGTGTGAAGGACACCACTCTGGATGCTGGGCACACACCAGGCCAGTGGACAAATGCAGGAGTACATTGTAGACACAGGTATTGCCAAGAACACAGAAGAAACTCCTCCAACACAGAAGAAGCTCTTCTCATCCTATCTAGGAGGATCGAGGAAGAAAATCCTGCAAGGAATCTTGGAAGATAAAAAGAGGATGATGGAGAAAGGCGTCCACAGCAGGGAGAGTCTGTGAATGGAGAGAGGCACCAGCAAATAGTCCCACCCAAGGGCACAGTTCCCCTGCCTGCCTGGACTGCATGGAGGTGCAAGGCAAGTCTTGGATGGCAAGACAAGGTGACCAGGGACCTTTAATGCCACCGCAGGACTTACAGTTACCTGTACCTGAAGAGTGACTTCAAAGAGACTGAAGCCCAGGAGTGTCATGATCCTGTTCCCATCTCAGATAGAAGTTTCTTAATGGCTTTATTTGCAAGCATTGCCTCTCCTGCATCAAAGGTTCGAAAATGCAAAACACAGGCAGATTAAGCAAGTGGACACAAAAAAGTTTCAAAGAATAAAGCATATAAGACTCTTCCTTGTTCTAATTCGAGAAGATAGCTAGAAATCACCACAGGGATGAAAGAAGATGTTTTCACAACCAAAAAAGTAAGTGAGCCAAGACCACCTTCTCAGAGACAAACATCCCTGACTTAACAGTTCTGCTAGAACTGTTCCTTTTCATCTCTGCTGGAATCAACAGAAGTTGCGTGGCAAATGCTTTTCCCGTCCCACGTGGCCTGCTGCCATATAACACCTCGGTAGGAGCCACCCCAACTTCCCAACTTGGCCACCACAGCTCACCGTGAGTAAGCCAGCCTCTGACAGATCCAGGAAGGAATGAGAGTATGTACTCTCATCATGGATGACGGTTGTAGAGGAGGCTGTGTTTTCTAAGTTAACAGTTTTATGTTAACTTAACATTCCCAAAAGCCTTCAAACTGAGTACTAAATTTTCCCATAATGTGAAGGGCAATTTCAGATCCCCGTGGCCCAAACTTCAACCGTGAAGCCTCCCATCCGTTCCATCCCTATAGACAAGACATGCTGACTACCCAGAAAATGGTATTCTGAATGCAATACACTGATGCAATAAGACTCCACTACAATGTTAGGGTTTCCAACCCACATGCAATTATAAGCTTCTACATGGTGTATCCAACTCACTGACTACACTTTAAGCCTATAAGCTACTATGGCTGCAAATGAACTTGATTGCTTCAATGCACAAAATCCAGTTTAACTTCTGTACAATTATTTGCCTTCCAAATAAAATTCAATAGCCCAACAAGTAATAACATAATTTGGGTGTTGTCTTCATTACAGAAGCAAGCATTTTAGATGTTACTACTTGAAGGCCAATGCTTCTATTAGTGAGGCCACATAAGAAACAGGGTGGGAATTTTTGTTCATCTGCTGCTAAAATCGCAGGATGTTTTATTTAACTGCCACATTTTAGAATATTTCAAGTGCTTCCAGCCAGAATCAAAACCCAGAGATGTGTTAAAAATTAGTCTTCTCTTTATGTACTGAATACTTAATTCCATTTACATGACATCCAAAAACAGGCAAAACTGATCTGTGCTATTGGAACGGTCGGTACTCATGCTTGGGACGGGGGTGAATGGAGATCTGCACAAAGGAGCTTGGGGGTACTGTTCAGTTTGGCTTCTTGATCTGGGTACACTCACACAGGTGTGTTTGGCTGTGGCAATTCATCATGCTGTATACTAACAAGGTATGCACTGTTCTTTATATATAATTCAACAAAAATGTTTTAAAACATTAAGGTGGAAGGAATTTTGGCTACTATCACAAAGACATTAATAAGTCAGAATTTCAATCCTATGTAGCATTTGAGAGATCACAGGTTTCACAAGGGACAGAAACCAGATCAACAGAAATAAGGAATTGCTTTTGCTGGGCCTGCTTTCATTCTCTTTCATTCATTTTCCTTAAAGGTCTCAAGCCTCCTAACATGACATACCTAGCATGGGGACACACAGGGCTGATCTCTATTTAAACATTCCCTCCCCCAAAGGACAGAATTATTTCCAGCAACAATCATGCAATAATCAATTATTATTGTATTCTTGATTAGCTAAGACAACCATTTAACAAGAATGTCAATTTTAAAGTTACTTCTAAAATTCAGGAAAACATTTCTTCTATGAACTAAAGTATGCACTCAAACAACATTACACCTAAGTGTTCCACTCTTTCATTGTTTTAAATTTTAATCAGATAAAAACTGCAAAAGGTCACACAGAGTAAGAGAATTTAAGAAACTCCAGTTCCATTTCTTCATCTTCAACTGCACTCACTGTTCATTGAAAAGCTCTATTTACACATAGAAATACGCTATACTATATTCCTTGTACCATGCACCAAGGGTTAGAAGCATCAGCTGCACCTGAAGCAAGCTCCAATTGTGAACTGTCAGGAACTTACTTACTGTCAAAGAGACATGTACAGCTCAGCACGTGTGTGTCAGGGCCAGGGCATGACAGAGAGTTCTCCAGATACATTTGCATGTAGAAAATAATGTTTATTATAGGGTAAGTTTAAAAAGTGTGCTCATCTAAGAATTTAGAATTGCCCACACACTGTGATAACAAAAAAGCAGATCTGCTGAAGTTGGTTTTACTGTTTTTAGTCTCTACAGATAAGTCCGGCCCTGTGTGGGTACCTGGAGAAGACCACTCCCACCCCAGGCAAACAAAAGCCTTCCAAAAACACAAAATCAACGTCAAAGTTCAGATGAAAGCTTTTTTGTTTCACACATTAAACCAATTCTTCAGTTAATATTGAGGGAAGAGCAGGGTTTTTCAACCTGAGCACTACTGCCTATTTGGGCCAAATAATCCTTTGCTGGGGGTTGTCCTGTGCATTGTAGGAAGTTTAGTAGCATTCCTGGCTCTATCCACTAAGGCCCTACCCCCATCCTCTACCCAAGATGTGACAAATGTCCCCTAGGAAGCAAATTCAGTACCTGTTGCAAATCCCTGGGGTAGAGGTTAGAACACCAGTGGAAGAGGGCAGTAAATCCTCCTGGGTCAACAGGTTCTGTGAATCTAAGCAAAATGACAAAACTAATTTTAGCATAAATTCATTGATAAAAATGAGAGTTAAGTTTCTACAGCATCTCACCACCATTAAAACAAAACAATGTTGAATAAAAGGATGTTATTTGAGGATTTTCAAGATTTGCTGTATACCAGAAATCAGGTACAGTGATCACCTTGCAAGGAAGTCTTTGTTTTGTTTTTAAAGATTCTATTTACTTATAGAGAGAGGAGAAGGGAGGGAGAAAGAAACAGGGAGAAACATCAAAGTGTGGTTGCCTCTCATGTGCAACCTGGCCCACAACCCAGGCATGTGCCCTGACTTGGAATTGAACTGGTGACGCTTTGGTTCACAGCTCACACTCAATCCACTGAGCTACAGCAGTCAGGGCAAAGTCTTTGTTTTATATAGTACATTTATAATTCTTAATATCTATATCTACCTCTTATCCAAATACAAATTGAATAACAAACAGAAGCTAGAAGAAGGCAGGAACAACGTTTAAGTGAGAAAGTGGACCAATGACAAAGTTGCAGCAGCCCTCCAGTTATTTTCCCTCTATTTTCTCACTTATTTCCAAATATTCCCCTAATGAATAGAAAAAAATTAACATCTTTCCCAAAAAGTCATTCGAGCCCATGGGAGATTTCCTATGAACCTGGAAATAAACAGTCTATTTAAAGAAAAGTATTCTCTACACACAATTCTAATCTCTGTGGTTTCTCCAGATTGACGCAGGACAGAAGCAGCAGCTACCAGGCACACAGACTCCAGAGACTCCCCCAATGGCAGCCTTGGTAGCGCAGAAGAGCTGGGGATTCAAAGTCAGGAAACCTGGGTGTGAGCCTCTGTTCTACCACTTTCTCATCCTGGGACCCTGACCAAATCACAGACTCCCAAGATGCCAGTTTTTATTTATGAAGTGCAGGGTAACGCTGCTGTGAGAACTTAGTCATTCAAAACACATGGAGGTTTTTATACAAATGTCAAATATTGTTACCTTTATTGCAGGATTATACACATCACAATTCTCAAGCAGAGAACTGTTGGCTTTACCAACAGGAGTTTTATCACTGAAAACAGCACTAGAGCTGACTCCAGCAGCATCAGCAGCAGATTCAGGAGGGTGTAAAACAGTAGGAAACAGATACGAAAGGCAGTAAAGCATGGAGGTGAAGAGAGAAGAGCAGGCAACCAGACTGCCTGGGTTCTGATCCTGCTGGGTGACCTTGGGCAACATGGTTGACTCTGTAGGCCTCTGTCGCTCTAAATCGGGAGTAACAGTAAGTAGCACAGTCAACTTTTTTTATTCACAGTATTTTTATCCTACAGAGTCACCACTGACACTGACTTGGTAAACACTGAACTGGAGAAGTACAGGGATCGGTCCTTGTGAGCTTCTGGTCACAACATTTTTGTCAACTGATTGACATATAAGCATGTCACATGTGTTTCTGTGTTGATACCTTAATTAATATATACCGTTGATTCATTAACATTGAACTCACAGCCACAGCCCTATAACTCAGGCTTGAATAAGTCATCTAACGTGTGCTTTCTACCTAAAGCACAGCACAGCTCTCTTGCACTTAGGAACACTAGACAGAACTTTAGCATGATGCTCAGTAGCCATCATAAACAGCAAAATAACTTTCTTTAAACAGATCACAAATACATCCAAAATGGCACTAACTAGAGCACAAAGAGGACACGCACGCACAGTATGGGACCTGAAACCGGAAGGCAAAGGGCTGACCTGCTCCACCTCAGTTGGGAACGTGCCCATCAGGCAACTTGGGGTCTCCTTCACTTCGTGAAAGGTCACAAAAGCACTGTAACTACTGACTTTAGCATTACAAATAAATTTTTTAACACAAGTCTGCAAGTCTGCAAATTCAGAATCCGCAAATAATGAGAACTGACTAACCTGCCTCACAGAGCAGCTGTGATGATGTAATGGGTTAACAGGCACACCTTGGAGACACTGCAGGCTCGGAGCCAATCAGCAGCGCCGTGAAGCAAGCATCAAAGTGAGTCACACGGACTTTCTGCTTTCCCAGTGTACATGAAAGTTAGGCTTACACTACACTGTATTCCATTAGGTGTGTAATAGTATTATGCCTAACAAAGCAATGTAGGTACATTAATTTTAAAATGTTTTCAGTGCTAAAAAATGCTAACTACCCTGTGAGCCTTCAGCAAATTTTACTCTTTTTGCTGGTGGAGGGTCGGTCTTACTTTGATGCCGACTGAAGCACAGGGTCTACGAAGTGCACTGAAACAAGACATGCGGTACAGATGAAGCACTTCCTTCCTTGCACACAGGGAGCACTCAATGGACGTTAGCTATTATTGGGGAGTCAAATACAGGGCGGGACAAAAGTAGGTTTACAGCTAGTCATATGGACAATAATTCAATAATTAATAAACAATAATACAAGAATAAACTCTGTGTTCTGCACACTCACAACTGTAAACCTACTTTTGCCCCACAGTGTAGGTCAATAAAAAGAATTCACAGGGTATAAAAAGCATAACAAAATTATAGAAAAAAGAACTTTACTTGGTAATAGGGAACCACAGATGCAAGAATATATATGGCTTCAAGAAACATCAAAAATCAAAACTCAAAATTTCTTCCTTAAGCAATCTCTCACTCAATCTGTTTCTCTTCCTTCCTTTACACCAAGAGGTCACATTCCCCGTGCCAGCCATCTACCTCTTTGCTCTCAAATCCATTCTCTGCACACCCTGTCCTTTTTGCAAGGCATGCAAGGAGAGGACATGTCCCAAACACCCTTGCCAACTGGTTTCCCCGCAGGTTGGCCTGTGGGAGGCACCAGCAGAAGCTGGAAGGGCAGGCACACAAGATGCCAGGGGCTCTCACCCTCCTTCCATCTGTCCAGGGCGCAGCTCCTTCCTGGAGACCCCACTTCCATTTCTGATAATGCCCCTTACTCCCATCTCTTCTGCAGCCTTCTAGGGTGGGAATATCTTCCTCTGGCTGCGAATCTCTGGGTTACCACATACCCTGGGCATCTCACCTCTTCCATGACCTACATAGCTGGTTTTTAGTAGTAGATTCTCAGTCCAAAAATACCTAGTCCAGTTCTTCAGTCTGACATCCTACTAAACACCAGCTCTAGGAGAATGCTACACCCTGCAATTCCGCCAAGAACCCACCACACACCCTGACACTCCCACAGATCTCACCTTTCGCTTTCTGCTCTCAGATTTCTCTGCATTGAGAGCCAATAAATGTGTCTTTTGTTTTTATTCATTGCTGCAGGAAAAGTGTACTTATAAAGATATTAGAGCCACTTCAGCTTTTTATCAAGTTATATTACTTCAGTATGGGCTACTGGCTTCCCCTGAACCAAGGCTTCCCTCCACCTAAGTGTCATTTTCTTTTTGAAGACTAGCATTATTCACAACTTACAAATACCTTGATTTTAAAAAAAAATGCAAATACGACCTATGGCACTCATCCAGCTGACTCTCATAGTCGGCACTGGCCACTCCTGGCTGCTGACAGCGGCCTGCACGAGCGCTGCCCGTTCATTCCGAGGCAGCTTCTGCTCTCTCTTCCTTCCACTGCTTCTTAGCCCAGCGCATAAAAACGGAATGCCTGACTGTAATCGGGGGAGGCACGAAAGAGGAATACATGACTTCACTTGGAGAAAAGAATGCCATGGTGAACAAGATTCTAATGAGTGAGTCAGAGAAGCGGGGGAAGAGGGGCAACAGTAAATGCTCGCTGCTCGCTGAATCCACGTTCTCTTCTCCCTGGACACACAGCCAGACTGTTTCCCCAGGAGGCGAGGCCAGGCGACTGAGTTCTCGGCAAGGGGATAGGAATGGGAAGGGACACCACTTCCAGGCCCGGTCAAAAAACCGTCCACGCTGCTCCCCGGCCTGTTCCCTACTCCCAGCGAGCTGGGATGAGCGGCAGCACATGGTGATCCTGGAGGGCCCGTGCTCTAGAAGTCAGGCCTCTTTAGCCCTGGTGGCTAAATGTCTTCTTTAAAGGGGCTCTTCCTCCACCCCCCACCACCAGTCTAAAACTGTGGACAAAGAAAATAACTATAGACAGACAGACAGACAGACATAGACACATGCGGAGGCCCATTTGTTATAAGTCACTAATGCAGGGACACACACCTTTCAAACGACCTGGTCAGACACCTGGTCAAGGAGGCCAGGGGATATGTAAAATAATCTCCCGTATGCTTCTTCCAGAAGGATCCTAAAAGGAGACCCACTGGGGTCAGGGACTCAGGAATAAGCACCTGTCGTCCCAGTCCTACATTCCTGTCAGGGAGAGCAGAACCACACTGAGCAACCACCACTTCGTAACATAAAACCCATATTCCGAAAGGTCAGGATGGGCCTCCCAGCATACAAGGCAGACACAGAGCTGAGACCCACACCTCCTGGGTCCCTGCCACTCGGGGTGGGAAGAGGGGGCAGGGAACCACAGGATGGCAGCAGTCCACGAAGGGTTTCTGGTCTGTGAAGAAAGAAGTGCCAAAATTGAGGGTAAGTGTTCTGGGAAATTTCGTAGCAAGCTGATAGGATAATTTCATGTTTTTGAAGCTAATAATAAAATTAAAGACTTGTTACTTTGAACTTTGTTATTCTTTTATTTCATTTTTCTAGTGATTGATTTTTATTGTAGCAGACCACAATGGCTTAGGATTTTTCAAAACTGTTCAGTTACTGCAAGCACCCCAAGTCCCCAAACTCTTCAGCTAAATTCCCAAGGCTAGGGCACCCCTTCCCCAATCCCTCCTGCCTCGTCCTCACCCGGGCTCCCCTCAGTCCTCCTGGCTCAGCAACTCCCCCACCCTCCCTTTCACAGTGGCATTTCTTGTTACATGGGGGTGGTAAGCACTCTGCAGACCCCTCCAATGTGTAAGTGTGGACCCTGGTTCCTGTAAGCCAGCTTGAGGCTCAGAACAAAAGAAGGAGTTAAGTGAATCATCAGTCATCCATCAGCACAGCTAAA